CTCCCACTTCAGCCTCTTGAGTAGCTGGGACTACAGGCGCCCACCACCATGCTCAGGTAATTTTTGTATTTTTTGTAGAAACAGGGTTTTGCCATGTTGCCCAGGCTGGTCTGGAACTCCTGGGCTGAAGCCATCCAAAGTGCTGGGATTTGGCTAAAATTTATTTTTCAGCAAAGAAAGAATGAGAAGAAATAGAAATTCTTCATCATACATACTTCACATGACACGTCAGTATACAAAAAGCCTCTGGAGATGTATTTATTCTAGACTGTGAGTTGTAACTTTGCTCTATGGGAGGAGAGCAAGCTTATAAATTCCAAGTATGTAGGGGACTGCCAAGAATGCAAAATGGTTCTTGGCTGCCACTGTGTTTGGGAATAGAGCAAAGGGAAAATGGGGCATTCATTTAAGTACCAGGACTTATAATTCCCACAGTTCTGAAATTTGAGTCCCAACCAAGAATTTCATTGCAAACTCAATACAATTCTCCCAGAGAAATTTTTGGGTGAATTGAGTTATTAATTTTATGTATACTCTAGAGGAATAACCAATATAATATTTATATAAAACATAAACACTACTTTTAAAAGATGAAAAATAATAAGGGAGAAGATTTGTCCAACAAGATCATGAAAACTTAAAGACTCCCTCTTCATCAAGGCTGAAGGGATTTGGCTGATGGAGTTAGGAAATCTTTTACATAAAAGGGGATTGTGCAGATAAATATATTGAGGATTAAAGGAGGATCTTCACTCTCAGAGAAGGGTGCTAGAAATAGAGGTGTTAATTGGAATTGAGCTTATTAATACAAACTCATGGTTTTTAACATAGACTAGGGGTTGGCAAACATTTTACATAAAGGGCTAGACAGTAAATATTTTGGCTTTGCAAGCCAGAGAGTTTGTTACACCTACTCCATTCTGCAATTGTAGAGTGAGACAATATGTAAACAAATGTATGTGGCTATATTCCTGTAAACTTTATTTGTGAGGCCAGACATGGTGGCTCACACCTGTAATCCCAGTACTTTGGGAGGCTGAGGCAGGAAGATTGCTTGGACCCAGGAGTTTGAGACCAGCCTGCATGACATAGTGAGACCTCATCTCTACTAAAAAATTTTTAAGAAATTAGGCGGGCATCGTGACACATGCCCGTAGTCCCACCCATTCTGGAGGCTGAGGTGGGAGGATTGCTTGAGCCTGGGAGGTTGAGACTGCAGTAAGCTGAGCTCATACCTCTGCACTCCAGCCTGGGGGTGACAGCGAGACCAAAACCCCATGTTTGTGAAAATAGATAGTGAACTGGATTTGACCTTTGGGTTACAGTTTGCCAACTCCTGATATAAACAGATAAAAAATTGGGAAAGATGTGTGTATGTTCATATAAATGTATACATACATAGGCACACACGTTTTCTAGCTGTCTCTGCTCAGAGGGTCTACAGTGACACCCTAGTAGCAATGAGCACACCTAGAGCCTAGATACTGGTTTCAAAATGTTGTTCACCACTAAAAGGGTTCCCTGAAGAAAAGTCTGAGGACACAGAAAAGACTGGGACAGGGAAGACAGGCCTGGAACATCATGTGCCAAAAAGAAAGAAAGTGCTCCAAGATTAAAGGGAACCTGCAAGGGAAATAAGAGGCAACTTGAAGGACTTCCAGTGACCAAAGCTGAGATAATTTGACTATTAAACAGGGAAAGTGGCCGGGCACGGTGGCTCACGCCCGTAATTCCAGTACTTTGGGGGGCCAAGGCAGGTGGATCACCTGAAGTCAGGAGCTCGAGACTAGCCTGGCCAACATGGTGAAACCCCGTCTCTACTACAAATACAAAAATTAGCGGGGCGTGGTGGTGCATGCCTGTAACCCCAGCTACTCAGGAGGCTGAGGCAGGAGAATCACTTGAACCTGGGAGGCGGAGGTTGCAGTGAGCTGAGCCCGCGCCATTGCACTCTAGCCCGGGCAACAAGAGCAAAACTCCATCTCAGAAAAACAAAAAACAAACAAACAAACAAACAAAAAACAGGGAAAGTAACAAGATTACAATCCTGAATAACATAGTAACCCATGAGTCAACACTGATAAAAATAATGAATACTTAAATAAAAGAGAAGGGATTGCTCTACCTTACACTTAAATGCCAAGTAATAAATGATAGAAGGAATGATGGAATTAGAAACATCACCACTGGGTAGCTACCTTAGTAATAACTGATTTAGGCAAGAACCATCTGTGGATGCTAAAACTAGTGAGTGAATGCTGGCTGAAGAATGGGATTTTACACTGTCTCAAGATCTCTTCCCACAAGATACTTAATTACTTGTTAAGTATGAAACGCTTTTAATTGACATCACAGTGGAAAAACCTGGCAGATGACATCTTAGGCAAGTTATAAGTGAACAATACCAGATATGAAATAAATAAGACATGGTGTCACCTGATATGCACTGAGAAGAACACAGCATCCTTTCTGCTTTATTCCTGCCAAAAAGGCATAACTGAATCTTATCTTCAAAGATGACAAAGTAAACATAGAAAACAAACATACAGCTGGGGACAGTGGCTCATGCCTGTAATCCTAGCACTTCAAGAGGCCAAGGTGGGCAGACTGCCTGAGCTCAGGAGTTTGAGACCAGCCTGGGCAACATGGTGAAACCCTGTCTCTACTAAAAATACAAAAAATTAGCCGGTGGTGGTGCATGCCTGTAATCCCAGTTACTCAGGAGGCTGAGGTTCGAGAATCATTTGAACCCAGGAGGCAGATTACAGTGAGCCAAGATCGGGCCACTGCACTCCAGTCTGGGTCACAGAGCAAGACTGTCTCAAAAAAAAAAAAAAAAAAAAAGAAAAAGAAACTTACAGTTTATAATATAAAATATACAAATAACTAATATGTTTAAAAAAAAAAAGGCTTATATTCACTAAAAAGCAAGGAAGTGCACATTAAAACAAGGAGATATATTTTATCATTAGATCAGCAACAAACGTGGCAAAGATGTACCACACTGTTGGCCAAGCATATGTGGCTATGACCGACCTGTCTAGAAGGCAGCCTGACAGTATATACCAAAAGTTAAAATGTACCAAAAATTAAAATATATACATCTTAAGCCCGGAAATCCACTTCTAAGAATTTATCCTCAAGAAATAATCTTGACAAGTGTACAAATATGTATGTGTAAAAACACTCTGCAGTTGCATTGATAATAAATTAACTTAGATGTCCATCAGCAAGAGACTAGTTAAAAAAAGTGAAATATTCAACTGTTAAAAGGGTGGCAAAGGCCAGGTGCGGTGGCTCACATCTGTAATCCCATCACTTTGCAAGGCCAAGGCAGGCAGATCACTTGAAGTCAGGAGTTTAAGATCAGCCTGACCAACATGATGAAATCCCATCTCTACTAAAAACACAAAAATTAGCCAGGTGTGGTGGTGGGTGCCTGTAATCCCAGCTACTTGGGAGGCAGAGGTAAGAGAATCACTTGAACTCGGGAGGCAGAGGTTGCAGTGAGCCAAGATTGTGCCACTGCACTCCAGCCTGGGTAACAGAGCAAGACTCCGTCTCACAAAAAAAAAAAGGGGGGGAGGTGTGGGGAGTAGCAAAAGTATGGTCTAATTTAAGTTTTTTAAAAACATTATATATGTTAATATATTCATTTTGTTTGTTTTGAGATGGAGTCTCGTTCTGTCACCCAGGCTGGAGTGCAGTGGTGTAATCTTGGCTCACTCCAACCTCCCTCTCCCAGGTTCAAGTGATTTTTGTGCCTCAGCCTCCCAAGTAGCTGGAATTACAGGTGTGCACCACCACGCCTGGCTAATTTTTTGTATTTTTAGTAGAGACAGGTTTCACCATGGTGGTCAGGCTGGTCTTGAACTCCTGACCTCAAATGATCCGCCTGCCTCCACCTCCCAAAGTGCTGAGATTACAGGCGTGAGCCACTGTACCCTGCCTAATATATTCATTTTTTAAGTCTAAAATGAGATAAGTAGGACATAAAAATGTATGTCGATCTTTGGCAAATGAAATTATGGGATGCCTGCCTATTTTTGCATATTTATATTGTTTAAACTTTTTACACTAAGCATTTATTTCTTAAAAGTGACAAGAGTGTCTTTTGGAGAAAAATTGCAGAGTATAATGTGAATGTAAAAATAATTTTTAGGCCGGGCGTGGTGGCTCATGTCTGTAATCCCAGCACTTTGGGAGGGTGAGGTAGGCGGATCACAAGGTCAAGAGATCGAGACCATCCTGGCCAGCATGGTGAAACCCCATCTCTACTAAAAACACAAAAATTAGAGGGGTGTGGTGGCACACACCGCTAATCTTAACTACTTGGGAGGCCGAGGCAGGAGAATTGCTTGAATCTGGGAGGCGGAGGTTGCGGTGAGCCAAGATCGCGCCACTGCCCTCCAACCTGACGAGAGACTGAGACTTCAACTAAAAAAAAATAACAATTTTAAAATAGCATATAGCATAGTGTCATCATAAATGATCAGGTGAAGGTGCAAAAAAACATGGGAGGAAACCTCCCCACCCCTACAAATTGGCAGGTGATGGTGGGGATTAACCAATAAAAAAAAGCCCATAGGAGAAAACAGTTATTGTCAACCTTCTTCCTAACCCATACCACCCCGGAGGTTCTGTATTCCTTTGGAATAGTTCCCTAGGTATAAAGCAGCACCTGGACTCCTTTCTAATGCCACTTACAAAAAAAGTAAGAGGAGGTCACAAAATTTAAAGGGCACTAACTAGAAGTATGGTGGCCATGTTTTCTTTTTTTTTTTTTTGAGATGGAGTCTTGCTCTGTTGCTCAGGCTGGAGCGCAGTGGTGCAATCTCCGCTCACTGCAACCTCCACCCTGGGAGGGTTCAAGCAATTCTCCTGTCTCAGCCTCCCTTGTAGCTGGGATTACAGGCACACACTACCACGCCTAATTTTTGTATTTTTAGTAGAGACGGGGTTTTGCCACGTTGGCCAGGCTGGTCTTGAACTCCTGACCTCAGGTGATCCACCTGCCTCAGCCTCCCAAAGTGCTGGGATTACAAGTGTGAGCCACCACACCTGGGTGGCCATGTATTCCTAACCAAAAGTCTAGACACATGATTTGAGAAAAGGGAGTATATGTAAGGGGCCAATGGGCATTGTTTAAACTTTCTCTTTACAGTCTTGGCTAAATACATGTTATACATGGCTCTCGCACTGAAAATAGGAGGGTGACTCTCAAGGGGACCTCCACATCACAGCTGAGGAAATACACTAGGGACTGAGGAAAGAATGTCCGGTGCTTATACAAATTTCCCCGTTCCAACCTACCAATAGTAACCAACGTAAAGTTACAACACAAAGGAGATACCTTCAGAATAGACGATGGATTAGAATGAAGTACTTACTTACCAGAGTTTTAAGAATAATCTTAACTGGCAGATAGTGTCTGGATGTATCAATCAAAATTCCTCTGTGAGGAAACCTTGGAGAATCAATAATGGTGGATTCATTGATGGTGAACTATAAGACAAAACAAAATTTTGCTTTAGTTTTAGAATTTTCTGTTGTCTTGAACTCAGTGAAGACTACAGCTACTTATACAAGCATTTCATAAAATATTAATTTAGAACAATAAAAAGTATGAAATTTACATTTACCAGCTAAGATAAATATCTGGGGAAAAGAAACCTTCAGGAAACAACAGCTAAACAGGTTACATTTTTTTCTATTAGTAATTTGTCTAACAATTTTTAGTAACATAATAATCATACTTACAGTCCCACAAGAATCTTGATAAACTAACTGGCTAAAGGTCTCTAAACCTGAGGAAAGTAAAATTTAATGCATTAATTTATAAACAAATTGAGATGATAAAAGCTATATTATTCAACCAGACTCATAACCAGGTAAGGCAAATATAATTAAATATAGTGTTATACCTGTATCCTCTAAAATATATTGTTATACCTACACCTACAGCCTCTACCATAATTTCTAAAATCGAAGCCAAATTTAAAAAAAAATCCATTGCACTTCTCTACTCATCTAATGAAAGTGCTTTACTTCATTGTACCCATACCCTGGGGTTTGTTTCAATATACACAAAAGAAGAATAGTAATTTAATACCAGTTTCTTAATAAATTTATAGCACTATGAGAGAATTTTTATAATCAAATATAGTCACTTTTAGAAGGTACCTAAATGTAACAGGGAAAAATGGCTGGAAAAACGATGAAACTATAAATAAAGGCCAATTTACAATATACAGTGTTTTACTTATAGCTGCAAAGACTAACTTCTGAACATTTTTTACTCAAGTGGATTATTCCCTGAATATACCAGTTGACAGGCTAATTCTTCTAAATGGCCTTGACTTGATTCAGATTCCTCATTCTAGCTGACAGCTATATAGCCAGGGAATTTATATCTTAAGAACAGTACAGTCATCTTTCCTATGCCTTCCTCTCTCCCCAATGTCATCAAGTACAGGTTCATGCTGGGAAGAATAACTTTGAAAGTTTCTGTTAAGTGACACTACATTCAATAATGATCAGTTTAGAGTACACTACTCCGAAAGTCTGATGGTAAACAGAAAATATGGACTTCTTGGACTAGAAATCTAGCCACTGCATACTCGCAAGACTGGTTTTTTTTGTTGTTGTTGTTTTGGGTTTTTTTTTGAGATGGAGTCTCGCTCTGTCCCCCAGGCTGGAACGCAGTGGTGCCAGCTCAGCTCACTGCAAGCTCCCTCTCCCTGGTTCAAGCAATTCTCCTGCCTCACCCTCCCACGTGGTTGGGATTACAGTCACGCGCCACTATGCCGGGCTAATTTTTTTTTGTATTTTTAGTAGAGATGGGGTTTCACCATCTCTAGTCTGGTCTCGAACTCCTGACCTCAAGTGATCTGTCTGCCTGGACCTCCCAAAGTGGTGGGATTACAGGTGTGAATGACTACGACCGGCCCCAAGTCTTTATTTTAATGACTATAAATTGGGTTAGTTCATATTTTTTAAAATTCCATTTCTAAAAACTCTATTTGGAAGTCAGTACAGTATCTTATCTGCCTAGAAAGGTAAAAGAAACTTTTGAACAGCAAATGTCCTGATGTCAAACTTTGAAGTTCAGACCCTGAAATTCTCAGGAAAAGCTTTTCAAGTTACTCCCTGCCCACTGCCTCTAACCAACTCAATAGCACATTTGCCTTTTATACTGCTCCTTATACAAACTTAGTTATGCTTCTAAATCCACAGGAATTTGAAATTAGGGAAGAGAGATGCTTGCTTCTGGAGTCAACAGAAGCGATAGCTGAAACAAAATTCCCTCATCAGAACAGGTTGGGGCCATGTGTAGTGCTATAAACATTACAGTCCCAAGAGCATCAGTGAATTACAGCACTGTAGGAATGTAATAACCTTCAAACAGTTTTTGAGAGGTCAAATGAGTTTTCTCCCATGCTATATTTATTTACTTGTATTTTTTTGAGACAGGGGTCTTGCTCTGTTGCCCAGGCTGGAATGCAGTGGTGTGATCTAGGCTCACTGCAGCCTCAACGTCCTGGGCTCAAGCAATCCTCCCACCTCAGCGTTCAGAGTAGCTGGGACTACAGGTCCACGCCACTATGCCCGGCTAATTTGTGTATTTTGTAGTGATGGGGTTGCGCCATGTTGCCCAAGCTGGTCTCAGACTCCTGAGCTCAGGCAATCATCACCCACCTCAGCCTCTCAAAGTGCTGACTCAAAGTGGTGTGAGCCACTGTGCCGACCTCTCCCATGCTTTACGAAGTATATGTTCAATGGAAATAATTTTGGAACTACATAACCAAGCATTCTGTAAAGGATCCAAGGCAGCAAAGGTTTGCTGTGCTTGATCTCACAAAGCACCAACTGAAAATTTTCCTTTACTGGAAAGTAACGGTGAAACTGCACGGAACTTACCTCGTAATGCTCCCCAAACTCTGTTGGCCTTAAGGACAGCCACTGGTTCTTTCACAAGTAGAGTATCTGTATTGGAGATTTAAAATCACACACATACTTTTGTTAATCCCTCAATGACACACAATAAGTTTCCTAAACATGTCACTGATATTTCTGGACTATTATTTTCTCCCAAGCACATGACCTGTTTCTCTAACTGCCTCCTGTACATCTCCATTTGGATGTCCTGTGGATTCCCTCAACTCCACATGCCGCAACAGAACTCTTCCCTCCCTCCTCCGCACACTTCAACCTGCTGGTCTTCTGTGTTCCTCATTTCAGTGAGTCACAGCACCACCATCCAGTCACTTGAGTCACTCAAGACAGGAATTTGGGTGTCATCTCCATGTTTCTTCATCTTCCCAAGAGAGTTAGTCTCTTCAACTTCTCAACAGAGTAGGGTCTTAGTTAAGCTAAGAGTTTAGTTGAAAATGCAAAAATTCCTCAGTTCCTACTAATCCTTGGTAACGTCCTAGGTGTCACTCAAATCTATTCCCTTTAAGGCCAGAGAGTTATCTCCACTCTTTTGCCTTCAGAATTTTCTACTTGCCCTGCACCCACCTTCCCTCAGTATCATCCAAACCTGCCTTAAGACTTACTCTCCAAATCCCTTTAGCTTAGTTTAGCTTTGTCCCACTCAATTAAAAGTTCACATCATCCAGAATGGGACTCCAGTTAGCTGCTTCTGGTGAGAGGCTAATCTTTCAATCTTTGAAACACATTCTAAGGTTGGCCCAATAGTCACTTAGTCTTTTAGAGAGGTCTGGAGTGGAATCAACCAGACATAGTAAACCCACAGATGGTAAAGAGATTGAAAGCTAAAGGGTGTAACAGCTGTGGACTTTGCCACAGCAAAGATGCTTAAGGGCTGGAGGTTAATGATTTAATACTGTGTCCTCTATGCTGGTTTATCACCTTCTACCACCACCACCATTCAGATGCTCACAGAATAGTTAGCTGCAGGTAGGCAAAAGTGCTCTATCAATAGTGCGAGCATCTCAGGTGACAGTCTTCTGACAAGATAGCCTTTTCCATTAGATAACCACATTCCATTAGATGAGTCAGCCAGTGCCAGGCTAAGAACTATATTGCTATTTATGAGCATAGTCTAATTATGTTTCCTCTACATCTATAGCAAATTCTTGGGTTGTTGTTGAGACAGTCTCACTGTGCTGCCCAGGCAGGTGTGGAGTGGCATGATCACGGTTCACTGCAGCCTGGACCTCCCAAGTAGCTGGGACTGTAGGCATGTGTCACCATGCCTAATTTTTCTTTTTTCTTGTAGAGACGAGGTTTTGCCATGTTGCCAGGCTGGTCTTGAACTCCTGGGCTCAAGCCATCTACCGGCCCCAGCCTCCCAAAGTATTGGGATTACAGGTGTCAGCCACTTCACCCCACCTGTATCAAATTCTTAATCAGCTACCTAGAGCTCACTGCTCCATTGGTCACTGTTTAAAAACTTTTTTTTTTTTTGCGCCACATTCTAGTTTTGAGATCTTCCAGAAATAGACAGAGTCACCTCAAAAACATTAATATATTACATATACTTAATACCAATTATTTTCTAATAGCTGACAACTGGCTGGTATTAAAAAGGACTAATTCAACTCAGTGGAAAATACATATAACAATTAGAAATTTGGTTTTCTAAATATATGAACACATAGCTACAGAATTTCCATTTTTACTTCACAACCAAGTTATTAGTGTTAACAATGATTACTTCCCTGAAGTGTGAAAGGAATGATATCACTGACTTTTCAGTTAGCCCATTCTGTATCTTTTTGCACCATAAATACATTTGTTTTGGAGGGTGAATATACAAATAACGTATCTATATATTCTGTTTAAAAACAATACATTATAGATAAGGCTAAAATCTCCTTTGAGATACTCACCCAACTCCTTCTACCTTCCTCAGAGGAAATACTTATCGGGCCTTTCTTAGGCTTGACATAGATATACATGGAAGGAGAATAGTATTGCTTTACGTGTGTGTTGATATATAAATGGGGTCCACCCCTACACATAATTATACAGCTTCCTTTGTTCAACTCAGCAGTTTAACTTGGCAGTTCTCCATGTGTGTTCTCTGTAATACTGCTTCTTTATTCTTAACTGTTGTGATCATACTATTGAGTAAAGATTGACAAGATGCATTCAGTCATTCCTCTATTGATGGATATTGAGTTTTGTTGACAATCCTTCACATTACAGGGAAACAGAATCAAACACCCTTGATTTATGTGTCCATTTATCTGCAGTAAAAGCTATTCCACTTCTCAGGGCATGCATAATTTTTAATAAATAGTGGTGCTTTAACATGTGTCACCTCCTCCAACATGTCCTCCCACTCTGGATGTTTGATATCTTATTTCCATTCATATGTGTTACTTTTATCGTCATCATCAACTAGTTTAAAGACTAAAAACTAGTTTATTCTTCAGCCAAAAATTTCACAATCACCTTGTCTCAAGAAACTTCCCTTTCAGAATAAAGAGGGTTTGTAGAACTGACTGAAAGATAAGCTATGACTCTCCAGTCTCGAAACTTCATTTTGTGGAATTTACAATCTGTTATCTGTATTGCCAAAGGACAGCAAAGATTCCTTGGCAACGTAATGACCATTTTCATCTCAATTCAGGTTGCAAATCCTACTTCACGTGGTGTCAGTGCTGAGTATCAACTGGAATGATACCTGACGTTGGTGAATTTTCCTATTTCTTTTCTAAGAAGAGCTACAGAATTGAAGAGAAAGCAAGCCGTTTTTCAAAGAGATGTATTATTGAGAAATCTCATCTAAACCAGCAGGATGAAGACATGTACTTAACTGTGAGGCAGTCTGGGGGTAACGGAGTTGCTCTTTGCTCTAAATTTGTGGCATCCTATCTTTTTTTTTTTTTTTGAGACAGTCTCACTTTGTCCCCCAGGCTGGAGTACAGCGGCATGATCTCGGCTCACTGCAACCTCTGCCTCCTGGGTTCAAGTGATTCTCCTGCCTCAGCCTCCCGAGTAGCTGGGATTACAGGTGTGCACCAACACATTTGACTTTTTGTATTTTTTAGTAGAGATGCGGTTCATCATATTGGCCAGGCTGGTCTTGAACTCCTGGCCTCAAGTGATCCACTCACCTCGGCCTCCCAAAGTGCTGGGATTACAGGTGTGAGCTACAGCGCCCGGCCTCTATCTTTACACTCAGTTCCCCTGTCTGCTGTCTCTTGCACGAATCTTATATTACACATGTCCTTACACTGCTCTTCTTTGATGCCTTGGTGCAATTCCACATTATTCTCAGGCAGTATACCCTATAGAAAAGGCACGTCCACTTGTTTGTTCTAAAACAATTTGGGAAAAGCCCTAGAGAATAATGTTTTAGGTAACAACAAGGACAAAATCATACAGCTAAATGTCGATTATATTGTCAATCAAATGAAACTGCTGTACCCACCCTCTCCCCCAAGCTCTGCATTATCTTTTGTAAAATTATAGATTATAAATAGAGATCATAGATACAAACAGATGTTTTCAAAGACAAAAGTTAAGAAATTACCTAGATGGTCAAAAGAGATTAGCCAATTCAGCTTATCCATACAGTGACAGAACATTATTCAGCCATTGAAAATGATGTCACAGAAAACTAGTGAAATTCATGTTTATAATGTATTTTGCAAAAAAGCATGATACAAAAATATAACAAAAATACAAGAAGCACATGTACAGAATTACTGCCATTTTCATCTCAATGCTTATCATGTTTGTATTTATGTCTATGTAAAATGTTTAAATGTTTTACTCTGGAAAAAAAAAAAAATACACCTAAAATGACAGTGATTAATTCTGTCTGCTGGGACTAAGAGTGATTTATTTCTTCTTCTTCTGCACTTACTGTACTTACAAATTTTCCACAAAGGCTATGTACTACTTTTATAATCAGACTTTAAAGGTTATTTTTAAAATAGGAATCATAAACTCACTGGTTGAGAACTCACAGTGGTTCCTAACATGGAGACAGTTTTTGGCAGTGAAGTCCGTCAGTGAGCACCTGGGCTATAATACACTCACATTGCAGAGGTACTTACAAGACTCATCTGAAGATATGTTGGGGAAAGCGTCACACTCTGACTGCAGGGTGATTGAGACAAGAAGTTGCTGAAGCTGGGATGTAGCCTGGGATTCAGCAGGTTCATGATCGCACTTGTAGAAACCAAAAATATAGCCATGATATCTGTTTGAGAAATAAATGTAAACACATTTTAAAAGGATTTTAGCCAAATTTTAAAAATGGATGTGCTAGTAACATTGCAGTTAACGCCTCAAATCCATGCTGCCCATTATAAGTCCAACTAGAGATTCTCACCTCAAGTTGTACATTAGAATCACTTGGGAAGTTTTTCGAAAATGCTAATGTCCACACCTTCCGAATCAGAATCTATGAGAATGGGATTCAGGCATGGGAATTTCAAAAGCTTCCCCACACTCCGAAGTGACATATGAAGCCCCTGTTAATAACCAATAATGAAACCATCATGGTAATCCATCACTCTTGGGAATGAAAAACCAATTCTGCCCAGTGATTGGATGTGGGGGTTAGGGGGAGTTCTTCTGAGCAAATCACAAGAAAACTTTGTTTCTCTGTGAGAGCTGGACCAGTTCCTGCTACACTAACGTGGACAGACCAGAGATGGAAAGAATATGGATCCCTGGTAACACTGTTGAGTCACTTAGTCAACTTGCCCTAAATACATTCCTACTTTTGGACATCCTAATGTGTGAAATAAGTTTTCTTATTGTTTAAGCCAGATTGAGTCAGGGTTCCTGTTACCTTCCTGCAAAAGTATCCTAGCTTATATATAAATCCCCAAAAGAAGGTCCAGAATTCTCACCAGAGCCTTTAAAATTAACTTTTTGTTGGCGAGGCGTGGTGGCTCACGCCTGTAATCCCAGCACTTTGGGAGGCCAAGGTGGGAGGATCATGAGGTCAGGAGTTCAAGACCAGCCTGGCCAACACAGTGAAACCCCATCTCTACTAAAAATACAAAAAAAATCAGTGGGTATGGTGGCAGGCACCTGTAATCCCAGCTACTTGGGAGGCTTAGGCAGGAGAATCACTTGAACCTGGGAGGCAGAGGTTGCAGTGAGCCGAGATCACACCACTGCACTCCAGCCTGGGTGACAGAGTGAGACTCTGTCTCCAAAAAAATAAAATAAAATAAAATAAAACAAAATAAAAAGGTACCTTTTGTTGGTATCCAAAAACCAGGGAATATTAAATAAAAAAGATCAGATAGGCTTCAGAGCAATTGTTTTTGGTATCCAAAAATCAGAATATTAAATAAAAATGTAAAGGCACTAAATAAAAAAGATCAGATAAGCTTCAGGACAATTGTTTAAATATTTTACAGATTTTGGCAAGCCAGAAGGTTATATATGCTACTTATGTGTAAGAACATCTTACGCTTTTTCGCAGAAGAGGAGGTTGGAAAATTGTGACATGTTTGGGAGTGTATGGAAGTTAACCAATGAGAGAATGGAATGGATGAAGGTGTTGACAGAAAACCTTGACAGATTAAAAAGGAAATTAAGATCACTGAAATACATACTTACAAAAGGTTAAGATGGTAAATTTTATATTTTTTCCATACTTAAAATTTTTAAAAAAAGGAAATTAAAGCTGCCAACAGCTTCGAGATCAGAGTTGGAAACTGGCTTAGAACTTTAACCCTAGGTAGTAAAATTCTAACAGAAAACTCAAAGGGCTGTGAAGCAGTATGTCAAAGGTATGTGGGTTAGTTTAGCCTTCCAGGAAATGAAGGAGTGAAGCTATTTATTTTTTAAAATGAGTGACTAGCATGTGATGGACGCTGTCCTGGAAGCTGAAGAAGCAGCTATGCATCTAACAGCTGAACTCTCTGCCTGCAAAAAAACATACTGTTTCAAAGCAGGGTTTGTGATACAACTTGGGCTCTTCAGAGACAGGGGCTATGTGATTCTGAACAATCTGAGGCCCCGGCTGTGTGTTCCTGACCACGTCACACTTTCTGAACACCCCATATTTCCAAATCTTTCCAACTCCACTGTGCTTTTACTCTGAGATAGCTACCGCCCGTGCTGAGCTCCTAGAATGCTCACATGCATGCCTTCACGTCTTAGCCATAAGGGCTAATACATTTTATGACCTGCTTCCTAATAACGCCAGGCATAATTAATGGCTGCTCCACTCAGAGGCCATGAATTAGGCAAACTCTTCAGGCAGTCACCCGCACCTGCCTTGAAATGCCAAGCCTTGCCTTCAAATCATCTCAGCTGATTCAAGTCCTGGTTATCTACCTATTGTTAACTTACATCACCTATGCTTTCTTGTCATCGTCAGTTCAGCGTATTACCAAGTCCTTGTTTTACTTAGCAGTATGACACAGAAGGAAAATCCAATTCTACAAGCTGAACTCCAAGGCAAACATAATAAGGGTGTTTGTTTTTAAAAGATTTCCAACCCTAGTCGTGATCTTCTGAGACAACCTTCGTGTACTTTCCATGCAATCTTTCTGAATATCCCAATGCAACCAAACACTTTGATTCTACATCTTAACCCCCCTCTGGCCTTAGCAGATTGGATACCAAAGGCTCATTAGTGTGTGTGCCTAAAATAGGGACTGATAATACCCATTTAGTTGTACAAAACAGAAGGAAACCGTGAGCCTTCTGATTGTAGAGAATGAACCATCTCTGCCATCAGCATCTCGGGCCTCTTCAGCTTGAGCCTAGGCACCTGTCCTATCTGGGGTCAGAACACGTTATTCAGTTAGTTTTGCATTTCCTCCCCACCTGTTCAGTGTCCTGCAAGCACACTTAAGCTCTATAGTATCTACTGGGCACAGCGACAGGCTTGGGGAATGCCAGGAGGCAGTACAGTTAGCACCAAATTACAGTTCTGCGGGGCACGATACGCCTTCAGGACAGTCCTACCTACACAAGTCTCACACTGAAGGGACAGTGTGTGGCTTCTTCAAACATCTCCCCAGGGGAAACTGTCTTCTCTATGGTGTGATTGGCTGACTCCCATGACAAAATTCACCCTGTCCGCAGCCAAAGGGTGAGGGAGACAGAGGCGCTATCTAGGGCTCTGTAAAAGAGGAAGCAGGGAGAGCAGGCACATGATTGGTGTTGAGAAACAAAGTTGGATACTGTCTAACCACTGGCCGCAGAAACGTAGTTAGATGCAAACATCTCACATTTTATGTGGAAGAGATTTTAGGTGAGAGGGGAGTTTAGGCAGTGCTCGAAACTGAGGACTTCCGCCATTTGAGTTATTACCAGGAGATTTGAGGAGAGGCAAGGGGGTGAAATTGGCCTATAAATGACAGTCAGCTTTGGGGAATTCCTGGTCCCTCAAGAGAGCTTGTCTAAGCCTTTCAGGTAACTTATCCCTTTGAACGTCCTTCAAATAAGGAGCTGTCACTTTCCTCCCCAGCTCTGGAGCTGGGGAACCGGGTGTCCCCTCCATCCATGTCATTTGCCCAACAAGGCCTCAGAGCAAACTCCCTCTTCCACTTAGTATCCTGCTCTCAAACCAGGGTTCCTGAGCACCCAAGGTGTCCCTTAAGAAGCAGTAGGAGGGTGGGGGCAAGAGCGTGGGTTCAGTCCGTGTGGCGCTGGGCAGATCGCCTGCCTGCTCGGGGGGCCGTTTCCTCGTCTGCGCAGTGGGGTGGTGAGGGTCTGCAGAGCGCCCCGGGGTGGTCCACCTCCCCTCCCCCAGGACACTTCCCGGCCGGGAGCGCTCACCGCCGAAACGCTTCCTCCAG